CAGGATTCATCACAGGTCGTGACAGAGGAACTGTAGTTCTAAAGCATTAGATAAACGGTTAGCTACAATTGTATCGCAAAGAAATGGAACAACACGATTTCCATTTAACTAGTAACAATAGATCCATCATGTTTCACATTTTTAATCCCACAAGGAATTGCGGTAACAGCTTTTTTCATTTTATGTGTAAAAGACAATTGTAATAGACACAGTTTCAAGATTTTTCTTCTGTAAAACTCATTTTAAATATAGACAAATATCGCGTTATTTGTATAAAAAAAAGTTGTATGATAATACAATCTAATTCATATAAGATATCAGTAACATGTCTTCTTATAGTATGCCAGTTTTTTATATCTTACTATATTTGTGGAACTCACAAATAACTTTCATCGACATTGAATGTCGATTCACTTGGCCCTAAACTGAAGGACTGTTGATAAATATGTCCTTATATTCCTAAATAAAAATGAGTTGTGTATAATGATGAGTTTCGGAGAAATTATTAATCCTTGTAACCTGTTCCTATATTACATACTATAGATATATACAAATATTTCAGATAAAATATTGAAAGAGGCTAATGTATATCATAAACTTTATGCTTTAGTTAGCTATAACGACTAAAAATTGTGATTTATGCCAAAGTAATGACCATTTCTAATACGGGAATGGCCAATCGTGACATAGGCATGCTCATTTGAGCCATAAAAATGGTCAACTGTGCCATAGAAACGGTTGCTTGTGCCGTGGAAATGGCGAACTGAGCCACAGAGGGTGTGGGTGTGGTGGTGTCGATGTGGGTGTGAGTGTGTCTGTGTGAAGATTATATTACCTCACACCCACCCACATCCACACCACCCACACCCACACCCACACCCACACCCCTCAAAACTTCAATCTTCAAAACTTTCATCTGGTAAATAACATCGAACAATCATTTAAATTCTCCTTTCTTTCAATTCTCTCATAGCTATTTGTAATGCTCTTGTACTTATTACACATGCTCGCTCATATTTGGTCATATACGCTGTTATTATTCGTTTCAATGAGTCAGTTCTCATACCTGGTTGTGTTCCATCCAAAACATCTTCATTGAGAATTTGCATTCGACCATCACCTTGTAATTGTTGTTCACCTATTTGTGTTCTCTGATCTTCCTCTAAATCTTCATCCATTTTCAATATCTTCACCTCCACCTCCACCTCTATCATCATAATCATCATCGACCATCTAAGAAAGAATTCGATTGTTTATTCTAGTTCGTAGAAAGTAGTATAGTCTAACGTAATATATAATGGGTAGCAATTTTTTTGATGACCAAAAAGTTGAGTTTTGATCAACAGAAATGTCTAACTGCGAAATGAT